GGCCGAACGTGGAGACCCAGGCTCATCGCTATACGAATTCAGGATGCTCGACTTTTGCTGGGGGGTGACGTTATCACCCTGGCTCGCCATATAGCGGATAAGTGTCGTTTTCGTGCAGTTTTCGATGGCGAGTCTTTCCAGCCAAGAATCAAGGTATAGTAGTAGCGTAGTCGCACGCTCCTTTTTAATAGTCTTAGTAACCTTCTGATGCCTACTCAGTGTGGCAAACCCAGAAGTCTTGTCCATGTTCTCCAGGTTCTCAAGCCATCGGCGATAGACTCCTTCTTCATTGTCTGCAAGATCTCGTAAATGGGGGACATAGGTAAGCATAGTATTGGGGGAGAGAATATTCTTCCTGATCTCAACGTGATGGAAGCTGTAGGAAGGAACTGTGTCGACGTTGGTCTTAATGCATATGACTTGATAGTGTTCACGCTTCTCTTGCTTTCCTGATCTACCTTGCCCTACTTGCTACGCGTTTGTCAGCCTGCCACTCTTCTTCCGGCCGGGATACAGTTCTAGGAGCGGGAATAACCTGTTTAAAGGAGTCTCGGGGGCCAACCTTAGTCCTGATTTTCATTGTGTCTGATGACTTTCCGCCAGCTTCCACCGGGGTGCGCTTCATATCGGCAAACCAATCCTTCTTGCTGGTGAACTGCTGTACAGGAGCTTCCTTTCTCCAGGCCATGTGGATTAGGCGAGCGGTAAGGTTAGCGCCGTCGGTACCGATTTCACTTGAGAAGCTCCGCAATGTTTCCTCAACCTTATCAGTAGTCCATTCATGCTTCCTTGGAGTGTGATGTTTGGGTGTTCGGTGGCTCGAGGGGGGACGATGATGAGACGATGTAGGCGTTACATCTGGAGCATTCTTAACGCTACCAGTCGACCTTACTGGCAACGAAGCCATCCTCCCATCCTGACTGGCGGTCTTCGATGCAGACCCCTTGGCAGACCGGGTAGGCGTCGCAGCACGGATTGATGTAGAGTCTTCTTGCATAGATGCTGCTGCTTGCCGATCCGGAGCCGGTGGGCTTGCAAGTTTGCGAGTACGCGATCCTGGTTGAGAGTGTGGTTGCGACTGCCTACCTCCGCGAGGCGTATTACCTAAGTCATTGGAGTCGTCAGAGTCCGACACGATCATAGTAAGATCGATGTGGTCTCTAGTCATCTCGCCACAGGGCTGCCGCCAGGGGGGCGCGCCTTTAGATTTTAAAGCAGAACACTCCTTCCACCTTCGTCCTTGTTTTCAAGTTAGGTCCCTACAGATCCTATAGATACAATCCTATCACGCCCATAATTGACTATCAACCATCTGCAGAATGAAAATGATTGCAATGGTGGAAAATTGCAGCAGGCGCGCTAGAAGCGGAGGCGCGTCTCAAGTGGCCTTCCAGGGGCCCCTTAAAATTAAATCGTACAAGAACTGTGATAAGAATTAGTATAGTATAGCAATTATATAGAGTTGAAGAAAACTAACCAACGAATTAAAAGTAATTACTATGTAGGGATAAGACAGCTAGCGACAGGCTGCGAGGCGGGTTGTTGAACGGTCCATGACCCGATGTGAGTTTTAACTTTCAGTGACGCGTCAATGAGGTGAGGCGAACACGGCCCCCAAGATGTTGAAGCTCCTTATCTAATCGTCAATGAAAAGGAGAGTGGCTGCTTCTGTGGCTGCTTCTGTGGCTGGTGCTGGTGCCGGTGCCCACCCACTCTATCCATGTTCCATGACCCTACACTATGTAATATTTATCGATAGAAGCTACCTCATACATAGGTAGTTGCTAAGGACATTAGGTACACAGTTTACATATTGTGCAGATCAAAACAATCTCACAATCTTGTATCTTCTTCAACGAGGGAATCATATATGGTATATATACATTGTAAGTCTCAGTAGTTGATATTTGCTGCCATATTGCTCATTGCCTAAATCCTTTTTGTTTGAGTCAAGCATTGGTAGATGTCTTACCCCAAGAGGGCTGCTAGCTACAGCTGAAAGCCCAATTCCCACACAAGAAATATGTATATGTATGTCGGTAATGTGCTCAAATTCGAAGACGGCGTTGTCTAGGACTATGTGTCTCAGTGTCTCAGGCCTTGCATAAAAAGATCGGTGCTAGAAGCACGCTACCCGTTAAGTCGATTGTCATTTTGGGATTAGCGTCTCCCCATTAACCGCAATTCGGCAGCAGCGATGACGTAGCAATAAGGGACCAGCCCTTTTGTTCCCACTTTTTGATTGTCTGAGCTTCTAACTGCCAGAGACAGCCCCAGCCCAAGCCCAAGCCGCCGTAACCCCATCCATCTCTTACCCATGGGCCCATCACATCCCCGTCTTCCATTCTTAAATAGAAAAGTGTGTACCTTACGTATGCGATCGTCCAAATCCGTCCACCTTTTTAACGTCCAAGATCGCCGACTAAACCCCATCCACCTTTCCACACCTCTCCTCCAGACCTTTCGAATATCGCATTCTATTATCTGCCTCGCGTCTGCCTAAGGCGCGTAATACCAACAACCAAGCAGCTCTTCCAAGCCAAGTTCGCTTAACACTCCTCGCCCATCTTCCCATCTTCTGTAACACCACAACATCCAAGCCGAACGTCATTGCTGAACGTCATTGTTAAGCTACCCCCAACTCGTCGTCAATCCGCCTCTCACGATGCACCGCACGTATTCTATGCGCCAGACTCGGGCGCCTACCGCCTCGCAGATCCAGGTAAGTCTGTCCGGTTCGTGCAATGCGCCCTGCCAAACACTGTTGACCTTGTTGTGCGCAGAACCCTCCTCCCCCGCCGTCATCCACGAAGTCCGGTCGACTATTCGGAAGGGGCGGACTAGGTAAGCTGCTTAGGATTTCCCACACTTCTGATCATCTTTTCAATTCCTCTCCCAGGCCACATCTTTCGAGATTGGGCAGCTAACCACCATGTCAGGACATGCGCTCCGTCGCAATGCCGCTGGCGCCTTTGGGCCCGACCTGGCCAAGAAGCTCACCCAACTCGTGAAGATGGAGAAGAACGTGATGCGCAGCCTCGAGCTCGTCGCGAAGGAGCGCATGGAGGTTGCTGTATGTTGCGCCTCTACATCCAAACACGTATGCGTCTTACTGACGCATCTATCTAGCAACAACTCTCACTCTGGGGCGAGGCTGCCGATGAGGATGTGTCTGACGTCACCGACAAGCTTGGTGTGCTCATCTACGAAATTGGCGAACTCGAAGACCAGTACGTCGATCGCTACGACCAGTATCGTGTTACCATGAAGAGCATCCGCAACATTGAAGCATCCGTGCAGCCTAGTCGAGACCGTAAGTATTTCTAAGCGGACAATAGGTACCATTCCATCCCACATACTAATTCCAAGGTAGGCAAGCAGAAGATCGCAGACCAGATCGCTCAGCTCAAGTACAAGGAGCCCAACTCTCCCAAGATCGTCGTCCTCGAGCAGGAACTAGTCCGTGCTGAAGCCGAATCGCTTGTTGCTGAAGCCCAGCTATCCAACATCACCCGCGAGAAGCTGAAGTCTGCCTACGCTTATCAATTCGATGCTCTGCAAGAGCACTGCGAGAAGGTCGCAATTATCGCTGGCTACGGAAAGCACCTCCTTGAGCTGATCGATGACACGCCTGTGACTCCTGGCGAGACCCGCGCTGCTTATGACGGCTACGAAGCTAGCAAGGCGATCATTCAGGACTGTGAAGATGCGCTAACTAACTGGGTGTCATCGAACGCAGCCGTGAACCCCAAGCTATCTACACGAGCCCGCACCCTCTCCATGCGACGTCGCAACAACATCAAAGCCCGATCAGAAGGCCTCGATCTGTCCGGTCAAGATGCGCCCCTCAACGACCGTGAATCCTGGGTCGCGGCTGGTGAGCACAAGAACCACGAGTACGAAGACGAAGAAGAGGAAGAGGACGACCAGGCCCACTCCGTGTTGGATTCCGACGGCGGACTGAACGGCGAGCACCGAGGCAGAGCACCAGAGATGACAGCTTAGGCAGCTTAGTCGACTCCTATGTGATTGACGCCAACACATTATTAATGTCTAATACGAGAAAACTCGAAAACGGTCTTGGAGCGTGGCGACCCCCCTAAGGCAGACACAAACATCTGACCCCAGGGGCATTGAGGCACACGATGACATGGAAGGAATAATTGTACGGACGACTGGACAGGTGACGAATGCACGTTTCAGGGCTTGTTGGAAGAAAGCTTCTTCGCAACACTCATACGAGGAGAGGTACTCTCGCATTCTTCTACGCAAGCAAACAACAGTGCTTTCTTGTAACTTATAACGACGAAAGGAAATCTGCCAGTGCTTTTCTGGGGATGATATACGAGATGAGCTTTGCGAGAGAGAGAGAGAGAAACGAAGAGGTGCTAATCATTTTTTCCTGTTTCCTCTTGATGACGTGCACTGCAAGTAATGTTAATGTGGTGTTGGCTTGTATCCTCATTCAAGAGAACCCTTGTATGCCTCTTGTGTGAATAGCTTTATTTCTGATGCAATGACAGAATATTTCTTTAAACCCCAAATACTATTCTAACCAAAGGATGCCTACTTAGACAAGAACCAACTGAGCATATTGTAACCACGGCTCCATGAATTCTTGTAGACACCTACTCTTTGTGGTAGCATTAGGGGCCCAGAGACTCTCAAATAATGTTGAGAAAGGGGCTGCCCTGTGTAAGGGACAGTAATATCTAAAGACTTATGTTCCATAAAGGACATAAACACAGGTACATTCACAAATTGATGATACTTGAAGACATGCTAGACGCCAGGGGAAACAGTGAGCTTGGCATGAAAGGCGAATAGATAGATGTTGAAGAGGCTATCACGTAAAGAAGGTGTCACATCTATTTCCTCCAAGACAAGACGTGAACATAAAACGAAGGAATTCAGGAAAAAAAAAGGAGAGACAAAAAAAAACAGCCTCCAGTTCGGCTTGAACCCGAAGCCTCCTGGGTGGGAAAAAGAAGAACGATGCATGCACCCACTGGGATTTGCACCTAGGTCTTTCCTGCCCCCATTAGACCATGTAAGAGGAATGAGCTAACTTCTGCTCCATGGGTGCTTTCCTGCTTGTGATTGTACTGTGTCTATTGTTTCTTATAACCATAGGTCGGATTTCCTGGCAAATAACGATGTGACGCGACGCGAATTGGCGTAAAGGGGCATGAACGCGTGAAGCCGTGGGAGTCGCGCTGAGGGGTTTCCAGCTGGCAACCCCCTTTTTTTCTTAGTAAGGCATGGTAACATAATTCACGATGTCTTGGCCTCATATCCACGTCTTGGTTTATCTTGATTCGAGATGAGTGGACAGAAAGCCCCTTGTCAGGGTAGAGTCAGAAAATACGTCCCATGCCAGCTGCTCTTTTTCTCGTCAGGCGTAGATGCTAATCCCGACAAACAGAAAGGTAATTGTCACATATGACCTCCAAAGAAAAGCTCAGGGTTCTACTCCCATTTATATGTCATACCCGCACTATTCCTAGCTAGAAAGTTCTGTCTATTATGATCCTACCCATTGTCCCTTAGGGGTTTGAAAGACAGGAAATATGTCACAGCTCAAAGAAAGGTACTGTAATAACCAAGCTCTAGTTTGGATGGGTTGGTTTACCTAATACATGTGATATAAATACGCGTGGAAGATTGGTACGAGAATATTCCTAGGTAATTGAAACCTGTTATCAAATAGGGCATCCAGTCCAAGAGAGACAACCAGATTAATACCCGGTAGGTACCTAATGTTAGTTCTCTTCTCTAGGCCATTCGACATCGCATACCACCACGAGAAGTACTATATAATTATAGAAAAACATTCATATTCGCTTCCCTATACAAGCCATAGTGAACCGAAACTAAGTAGACAAGGTACCTAAGCTAGAATCGGGAACTCGCCTATATTGAACGACTCGAGATGACTTGAGAACATATTCAATCTAACAAGACTGCCATGACCCCAGGAATAGGGATCCGAACCTAACACCTGTGCCCTTCTAAGCGATACGTCGAGCTAACTCATATTATCATATCCAAGCCGCTATTTCATTTCATATTTTCACACACATATCCTCTCCAGCTCCCGCTCTCACAAATTAAACACCACCACCCATCACAAGCCCCCTTTTCACTAGGCGTTAGTAATTATCCGTCCTCGTTCCCAACAGAGCCCTCAAGCTCTTCTCACCGGCCAATTCCGACTTACTCCGTCCCACCAACCTCTGCTTCAATCTCTTGACCAGCCCCCCACCATCCGGCTTCTGCACCTCGAGGCCAAACGACCGTCCCATGTACGGCCCTTCCTCCGTGAACGTGACCCTCTGCGCCCTTGCCCTCCTATTGTCCCACCCGTCCGTCGGAGTATCCGTCGCATGGTAAATGGCGACGACCTGGCCTCCCACCGTGACGAAAGAGCCGTGTCCCGGTCCGAAGGGGCCCGTGCCATGTCTCCTCGTCTGCACGAGCGGCTCTTCGCCCTTCTCCCACGACGCGGGGTTCAGCGGGTCGCCGCCGATGTATTTCAGCAATCCCATCTTGTACTCGTGAGTCCAGCTGCCGGCGCAGCTATACACGAGGCCCTGCCAGGCAATTCCCCCATCAGGTGACCTCAGGAACTGCGGACCCTCATTAATACCGTGGTCCGTGCCGTTGCCCTCGCGCGTGATCTCCCAGTCGTGCCGCGGGGTCGAGATCACGATGGCGGGGCTAGCCGCGCTCGTCGGGTCCGCGAGTTTCAAGATGAAGAGCTGCTGGACGAGATCCGAGTCGTCGAGGCTATCCAGCGGCCAGCCCGAGTACGCAAAATACCAGTTCCCGTTGAGCTCGAAGACGGTCCCGTCGATGGCCCAGTGGTCCGGCATCTCGTGGATGCGGCCTAGGAACTCCCACTGGCCTCGGCAGGGATCCTCTGAGCTGGGCGGCCCGCCTAAGACGTACATCCGGTGGCTCTTGTTCCCGCGGGCCGGGTTTGCGGCGGCGTAGTAGACGTACCATCGGCCGTGAAGAGCGTGCAGCTCAGGCGCCCAGAGTTCGGCCGAGTGGTCTGTGCCTTGCGGTGGAGTCCTGAGCGACCCGTCAGTATGTAGCTCGGGGGGATTATACCATTATGTCCGGAGGCCCAACCATACCAAACTACATGTCTATCAGCAGCGCTTTCTATATCGGCTAGGCTGCGGGAGGACCATATCTCAACCCTGTTTCCAGTAGTAAAAGTCTAGGCACACGATTAGTTGTTTCCTTAACCAAAGGCAATATTGTAGGACTTGGGGGACCTTGGTGGTGGCATACGAGGTAATAGCGGCCCCTGAAGACGGTCACAAACGGATCCGGAGTGCCCACGGAGGTGATTGTGAGAGTCGAATTATCGTACTGCATGACTGCGGCGGGACCTCCAAGCGACAACAGCGATGTTAACGCGCGGCTTACACCCGTTAGGGCCTCCCTCAGCAAGATATACAGCATTGCGCTGTTGGATCGGAGACCTTGGGTCGCTGACGTAGTCCCAAACTATGCTTGTTTCAGTGTGCCGATCCGCGAGTCTGCGATTAGGTTTCACGAATGGGAAAACGCTTAAAATTTGGCAGCCCTTGTGGAGCTGGGCGAATCGAAACGCGAACTGGGCAAGGTGGTGTGGGCGTTGCTGGACCTCCGGATCTGGATGCTGTAAGGTTATGGCTAGAGGCAGGTTTGTCTCTCGACTTGAAGGGGGTCTGGAGATGGCTGAGGACGCAGATTGGAGGGACAGGATCAGGTCAGTCTCTGAGATTGTGCGCCACCAGCAACGGCGGCGGTGTAACGTCGAGAATAATGCAGTGGGTATGATTCGGAAGATGGACTCGATATTTAACAAAATCCCAAAACTTCAAATGTGTGCAACCGACGGTCGCAGCCTCCCAACCACACGACCACACGACCACACGACCACACGACCGCGTAAGTTCCCACCGATAACTCCTGAGACGACCGTCGCAGCTGCCAAATGTATATTTACACGCCCTGCCTGCACAATGAATACAAATCAAATGCTTTATAACCCGTCCTAGCGCCGCGCTACGCATACCCCTAGATAATGATCATCTTTTTTGTATGGAGCGTATACCGTCCAACGCCCCGAAGCAAATGGTATAATGATAGTGAGTAGATAAGTCAATCCAACGTAGATCTCATTCCAACAAATAAAAAACTCTTGAACGGTATGTTAGCATTTAAGGTCGACATGCGCCTTGCTCATGATGTCAAAAAAATCAAAACCCTCAAATAACTCCTTAGGTCGAGTAGAAGTCGCCGGCGTAGGCATGCTCTGCTTCCCATTTAAGGAAATCTCCCAGATCGTGTCCGAGATTGTACCCCATGGGCACGACGTCCATATCGTCACCCTCCGGACCTCGGATGACTCGAAGATCCAACATCGGGCTCTGCGGAAGACTGGCGTAGCTCTCACGGGAACCGCATTCCTTGGACCCGTTGCTCTCCTGGTCATCAGGAAGCATTTTGGAGATGTCCACTTCGAGTCCGGCCATGTCGCGATCCAGCTGACGAGCCTTGCGCCGAAGTTCCTGCTGCCAGCGATGGTGTGGGCTATACGGGTTGTCCCTCTCGATCTCAGTATACGACACGTCCGAGTAGTCCTCGCCCGACGTCGTGCTGGTGGGGCTGGGCATTTCGAATTGCTGGGTGACTAGTCCTCCGAGACGAGTAAAATGCCACGAATCAAACCAATCGATCAGCTCTTCCACCTCTTCTGCCTCTCTACGACGAATGATATCGTCGCTTTCAGAGAACCAATCTCCGGCGCCTCCGGAGATGGCCATTTGGAACGCCGTCCAGTCCAGTCCTTCATCCGCTCCAAGTTTCATATCTGCCATGAGATCACACTTTGCTAGTCGGATTGGACCGTGCCGGAATCTGGGACTGGTCATGGAGCAGGGCGACGCTTGAAGAAAAACGTAGTTAGAATCGGCAACCATGTCTCGATTGCCTCCGAAATTTTGGCTGGCATAAAGCTCATCCTTCGATTCCGAGATGGTTGTCGTCTCTGGGATGCTGGGCAATGCTGTTCTCTGACTTCGCCCAGCAAATCGCGCAGCGTGCCTTAGCGGCGGCGTAGGAAAATGCGCATCGTCGTATTCCATTGGTTCTTCTCCAATGTCTGTCTGCGACGCTGCAGTGGGAGTACTATTGGACTCATTTTCCTCATTGCGTCCCTCTGCTGCGAAGTCCTTACGCACAACGGCGTCAAACGTTGGTGGGGTCGGCTTCTCCGCAGTCGGTGTCTCAACATCGAGCTCTGCACTAGCTGATTTGATTCGGGAAGGGAGATCGTCGAGGTGAAAAGGCTCAACCGGCGTATCACTTGACTCGGTGTCAAGGGTCTCAGTCGATTTCTCTGACTGCATTATCGACATTCTACGCAGCCTATACGCCTCCAATTGGCTCGGCGTGAGCATCTCGTCCACCTCAATCCTACGGAAGAATTTCCCGCTGAATAATTCTGTCACATTGTCGGACAATGCCCATCCTGGCCCGCTTTTCGCAGCCGATTTGGTCGCAGCCGGCTTCCGGGATGGCCTCATTGACCTTGTCTTCTTTGCCTTCTTTGACTTCTTCCTCTTGACTCCGCTAGACGTAGATGTATTTCGTCTAGTCGAACTGGTCGGGGAAGTGACAACTTGAAGCTGTGAGTTAGGCATTCGGGATTGAGAGTCTAGAGATGTTGGCTTTAGAATAGGCGATGAATCTGGTGTAGGAAGTCGTGGTAGTTCTTTAAACGAACTTCCTGCGAATTGTGCTTCAGCGAGGGCGCTGCCGACAGCTTCAAAGGCCGCATCAGCCTCTTCGCTGAATTGTTGAATATTGTCTGTAAAGCTTGAAGATGACTGCTGTCGCCGCACGTGTTGCTTTAGCAGTGTCACCCTGTTTTCTGGTTTGGGGGATGAAGAAGCTTCTATTAGATCGAAGTTGGGGTCTAATAACTCTGCTTGGCGCTTTAGGGATTCCGATGACCTTGATTGGCCCTTAGGAGGAGGTCTAGGTGGGAAATCATCACCTCCGTAGCTCGTGGCGCTAGAAAGT